AAAAAAAAAAAAAGTCTCACAGCCTTTTCTGCTGCAGCTGACTTCAAACCACAATCCTCAGAACCACAATCCTCATACTTGTCATCCTAAGCTACTCAGGAGGCTGAGATCTGAGGATTGTGATTCAAAGTCAGCCTGGGCAGAAAAGTGTGAATTCTTATCTCCAATGAACTACCAAAAAAGCTGGAAGTGGAGCTGTGGTTTAAGTGGTGAGCTCTAGACTTGAGCATAAAAGCTCAGAGATGGTGCCCAAGACCCCAAGTTCAAGCTCCAAGACAGGCTCCAAAAAAAAAAAAAAGTAAAGAGAGAAACTCCAGGAAGATCATCATTTAGAGGGTGGCAATCATTATTTAGTAAGCATTCACACGTGCTGAGCACTATGCAAAGCACCCCCTTTACTACATCTAATCCTCACAGCCATTGACAGGAAGTTAGCATTACTCACACTAGCAGATCTACTATTCTCCTGTGGATGAGCAGGCTGAGGCTGAACTGGATTAGTAACCTTGCTTTGCTTTTCTCTGAAGCTTGAGTGCTTTCCCATTGTGGACAACTGTTTTGTGGACAAACACAACAGTATCAACTAATACAAGAGGATTTCAAATGCTTTTCCTGTCTTCTCTGCATTTCAGAAGGCCTCAAAGAACAAAATCAAAACAATAGGAACCAGATACCCAAGGTGTGAGAGCAGTGAAAGGTATCAAAGCATCATGGCCAAAAGTTGGTTCTGCTGATATCAGTTCTTCATCCTTCAAAGCTATACAGAGAATTGCAATTAATTAGCTGTGGGGATTACTAGAAAGAAAGTACTGAGGCTCACACCAGTAATCCTAGCTATTCAGGAGGCTGAGATTTGAGGATCACAGTTCAAAACCAGCCCAGGCAGGAAAATCTGTGAGATTTTTATCTCCAACTAACAATCAAAAGGTTGGAAGTAGAGCTGTAGTTTCAAGTGGTAGAGCACCAGTCTTGAGAGAAAAAAGCCATGCAGCAAAAGCACAAGGCCCCAAGTTCAAGCCCCAGAACTGGCATAAAAAAAGGAGAGTACTGACCTGGGAATGTGGCTTCATGGTAGAGAGCTTGCCTATCATGCATGAAGCCCTGGGTTCCATTCCTCAACACAACATACACAGAAAAAGCTGGAAGTGGCTCAAATGGTAGAGTGCTAGCCTTGAGCAAAAGAAAGCTCAGGGACAGTGCTCAGGCCCTGAGTTCAAGCCCCAGGACTGGCAAAAAAAAAAAAAAGGAGAGTAATGTACCAATTTGTACTCTCCCTGCAAACATGAATTCTAGTCTCTCTTGCTGCTACCACCCCTTGAAACAAGCCATCCTTTTAATGCCAGCCACTCTGGCACATCGTGCCATCACACGATGGTTTCTATGTAAACTGTTCAAACTCATTTTTGTCTCTTAAGGCTATGAGGGTCTCATCACTTAATTGAGGCTGGCACCAAACTTGAGGTCCTCCTTCCTCCCAGGCAGTTGGTATTTCAGGTATAAGGTACCATACCCAAATCTAGCTCACTTATTCCTTACCATTCTATACCACATTTCCTTTATTACTATATAATCATTATTTTAACAATGACTTGAGACATCATCCTGCTTGGTTAAATTCAGCTTTGTAAACTCCAAAATAGGCAGGTTCCCTGGCACTCGGGGTCAGTGAACATATGTCCTGGATGGTAACTCCATTCCTGACACGTTGTAGACAAAAGAAGGGTGTGGTGGTTCACACCAGTAAGCATTATGATTCAAAACCAGTCTGAGAAAAGGAGTTCATGAGCCCCCACCTCCACCAATAAAAAAAACTGGGTGCAGTGTGCACAACTGTCACCCTGGCTAGGGCAGAAGTGGAAACATGATGACTGAAGTCCAGGCTAGCCCAGGCATAAACATAGGAGCCTATTCAAACAATAACAAAAGTGAAAAGGGTAGACGTGTGGTTCCACACAGGTAGAGCACATGTGTAGGGGGTGAAAAGTGAGAAAAGAAGGTCAGAAAAAGCAACTTCAGAGAACCCTTCAAAGAGTTAACCGAAGTAGGCAAGTAGGCACAGGAGGTCCAGGAAAGCTATTCTTTCTTAACACAGGAAAGAAGGAAGTTATATTTAAACACTGGTGGTTAGGAGTTAGTGGAGAAACACAGCTAGAGGGCAGAGCCCCCCCAGGCAGGAGAGGGAGGGGTGCTCAGCAGGACCCGGAGCAAGGGCTGTCATCAGGAAAAGAGCAGGAGGTCAGGCCACAGAAGGTGAGGACACAGGGGACTGGCCGGCTGAGGGTCTGCACCACCCAGGAGCTTCCCATCCTGTGGCTCCTATTTTCTCTGTAACAGCAGGCATGACTGTCTGCTGAGGGGAAGACAGAGAGAAACTAGGGTAAGGAGGGTAGCAGACATCACAGGAGGAAAAGGGTCCTTGTCATGTAGCCAAGGAGAATTCAAAAGCTGGGCACCAGTGACTCACCCCTGTAATCCTAGCTACTGAAGAGGCTGAGATCTGAATATCACAATTAAAAGTCAGGGCAAGAAAGCCCATGAGACTCTTATATCCAATTAACTATCAATAAGCTGTGACACTGTGGCTCAAAGTGATAGAGCATCAGCTTGGGAGGCTGAGATCTGAGGATCGAGGTTTAAAGCCTGCATGAAAGTCCTGAGATTCTTATCTCCAATTAGCCAGCTAACAGCCAGAAGTGGAGTTGTGGTTCAAGTAGTAGAGAAAAAACCTCTGGGAGGGCTGGGAATGTGGCTTAGTCGTAGAGTGCTTGCCTAGCATGCATGAAGCCCTGAGTTCCATTCCTCAGTACCAGATAAAGCAGAAAGGCCGGAAGTGGCTCTGTGGCTGAAGTGGTAGAGTGCTAGCCTTGAGGAAAAGCAGCTTAGGGGCAGTGCCCAGGCCCTGAGGACTGGCAAAAAAAAAAAAAAAAAAGCTCAGGGACAGCAGCACCCAGGACTTGCATTCAAGCCCCAGTATGAGAGAGAGAGACAGAGAGAGAGAGAGGAGAAAGGAGAGAGAGAGGACAGAGAGGACAAAGAGAGAAGTGAGAAAGGAGAGAGAGGAGGAGAGGAGAGTGAAAGAGGAGGGAAGAAGAGAAAGTAACCAAGGGGAGACAAATGGGAAGGGAGAAGGAGGAGAGGAATATGCAACAAAAACGGGGAAGAAGGAGGAAGGAGGGGGGAGGGAAAAGGAAGGAAAATGAGGTGTGTGTAAAGAGGCCAAGTCGAGATTGGGGTTCAAAGCTTATAGGTCAAAAAAGTCCATGTGACTTATCTCCAATAAACCACCAAATAGCCAAAAGTGGAGCTGTTCTTCAAGTGGTACAGGACCAGCCTTGAATGGGACAGCACCCAGGCTCTGAAGTCAAGCCCCAGTACTGACACACAAAAAATAAAGCCAGGCACCAGTGGCTCACACCTGTCATCCCAGCTAAGGTCTGAGGATCCTAGTTCAATGCCAGCCCAGGCAAGAAAAGTCCATGAGACTCAGATCTTCATCTAATCACCAGAAAACTAGAAGTGGTCCTGTGGCTCAAAATAGTAGAGTCCTATCCCTGATCAGGGACAGCACCCAGGCCCCAAGTTCTAGTCCCCACAACTGACACACAAAAAAATATACCTGGCATCACACAAGACATAGAAAACTCATTTTACAGAACAATTATCTCCTTCATATGACAAGCATGATATAAAATTAAGATCAAATATGTTTTATTTAAGTACATTGTAGGACAAATAATATAAATTTTAGGGACTGGGAATGTGGTTCAGTGGTAGAGTACTTGCTTCGCATGCATGAGGCCCTGGATTCGATTCCTCAGTACCACATACACAGAAAAAGCCGGAAGTGGCGCTGTGGCTCAAGTGGTTGAGCATTCACCTTGAGCTGAAGAGCTGAGGGACAGCACCCAGGCCCAGAGTTCAAGCCCCAGGACTGGCAAAAATAAAAATCTAAAATTGGAAAAGACTTCACTTAATGAAAGTTAGCACTTTCTGTTCATAAATTCAGTCCGGAAAACACCAGGACAAAACTACACACATATCAAACTCATTTCAGTGTGTTTTATCGTTTTGCTCTTAATTGTGTCAGGGTTGAAAATTCTAGCTGAAACAGTAAGGTGTCGTAAGTGGCAAAAATAGCTCTATATTCTACCCAGCAATCCAGCTTCTTTTGTGTATCTCTGTGCTGTACTGGGCACTGTCTCTTAGCCTGACCCCAACAGGCTGAGGCTCTACCACTTTAGTCTCAAGGAGTTTCCTGTCTCAGCTGGCTTTGAAACATGATCCTCAGATCTCACCCTTCTGATTAGCCAGTATTACAGATGTGAGTCACTGGCACCAGCTCAATGTTTTCACATTAAGGATGAAGGACTCAATATTCCTCTATGATTTTTTACTTGATGTTTTCTTCTTATAATAAAATAATACATTTAAAGGCAATTGACCTAGTCTGGTTTTTAAATAATGATGACTGAATGCTTAAATTATCACCCTTGAAGAATACATTTAAAATTCAAAAATAAAACTTTTAGCAACAGTAAAGTCCTCCCCCACTGTGCTTGACCTTGAATTATGTTAATGTAAATAAGCTATGAAATGACAACCACCAAATTATGATTATGATCAAATTACTCAACTCTCCTCCTCACATTCCCCTTTTGCTCTGCTAACCCTTAGTTTAAACAGGAGCCAACAACAAGGAGATTTTCATAAATACTGTGTGGACAGGCACTGCTATTCTCCAGCATGCCCTGTCATTACTGCCTTTATGGACTCTAATTCAATCAGAGTATCAAGAAGTAACAAGGAATATTTAAATACAAAATCATGCTTCAGATTGCTAAGTAACCAATTCAAACATATCACACACAGCTTGAGACTTTTGTTTTCCATGCCCATGGGAACAGAGAGGATAAAAAGCAACTCTCTTTAAATTGTAGCAAGAAGAACTCACACACTCACCAAACTGTTTTAAATTTTAACAGGGCACTGGTGGTACACACCTGTAATCCCAGGCAGGGAAGCAGCTGAGCAGGCAGAGGAGGCAAGATGGAGATTTCAAGGGTAGCCCGGGTAAAGCCTGTCTCAAAAGCAAAATACAAAAAAGTAAGTGGCTGGGCATGTAGCTCACGTAGAAGAACACTCACCTACCTTGTGGGAGGCCGTAGGTTCAATCCCCACTTCCACAAAAGACAAAAAAGAACTTATGTTTTCCTACTGACATTACATAAGTTAATCTATTTGTCCATAATGTCAGGTTCAAAACCAATAAAGGAAATATGTTCCATTTATGAGAACCAGGATAAATTAAAATTTTTCAGATACTCATGTACTAGGATTTTGAAACAAAAAGTATAACTTTAAAAGAACCAGGATTTGTTTTTGAACTAAGCACAAATATAACTGTTTCAAAGAACATTCATTAGTACATGACTGGCAGAGGCGGCCTGCCCATGAGCTATCCTTGGAAAACTGCCTGTTTGTGTTAGGCTGGGAGGTAAAAGTGTTTGTTTTACATTTTTAAATGTGGGGAGGTGGGAGGTTCACTCCTCATCATAGCTATCCAGGAGGCTAAGATCTAAGGATGGAGGTTTGAATCCAGCCTGGGCAAAAAAAGTCTGAGTCTGATCGCCAATTAACCAGCAAAAAGCCAGAATTGGAGGAGTGGCTCAAGTAGTAGTGTGCCAACTTTGGTGGGGAAAGGCAGAAGCTAAGGAAGAGTGCAAGGCCCTGAGTTCAAGTTCTAATACACATACACACACACACACAGAGTGCAAGGCCCTGAGTTCAAGTTCTAATACACACACACACACACACACACACACGGTGGGGATGGAAAGTAAAACAAGGAAATATTTTGTGATTTTGTGATTATAGAGCTTCAAATGTGTCTACAAATAAAGTTTTACATAATTTCATCTATGGTTTCTTGCATAGGCAGTTTTAACAGACTGGCTTGCAAAGTCTAAAGTATTTACTTTACAGAAAACAAGTTTGCACCTCTACCTCAGGAAAACATGCACTTATTCTAATACTACTACCAATGAAGAAAATATGTTAGAAACATTAATTTTGAAAATGCCTTCAAAGCTGTAATGTGCAACCTGGGGTCATGTGACCTTCCAAAATGGCCAAGAGGTCTGGTGTCAAATCTGAGTAAGGTTGGTTATCAGGATGGAAGAACCAGCTTACCTTATTAATACATCTAAATTTGTAAAAGTCAGCCGGGCGCTGGTGGCTCACGCCTCTAATCCTAGCTACTCAGGAGGCTGAGATCTGAGGATCACGGTGCAAAGCCAGCCAGGCAGGAAAGTCTGTGAGGCATCTCCAATAAACCACTAGAAAACCAGAAGGGGCACTGTGACTCAAGTGTTAGAACACTCTCCATAAGCTGAAGAGCTAAGGGACAGTGCCCAGGCCCAGAGTTCAAGTCTCACAACCAACAAAAAAATAAATAAGTTTGCAAAAGTCTGAAAAGGAAGGTTTGTTTGTGCTTTCCTGCTCTACCTCTGACTTTCTGCAGAGAGCTGACAGTTACTGACAGGCTATCAGGCATTCACAGGTTTGCCTCCAGGCATGTACATGCCTGGAGAATAAAAACACACACAAGCAAAATTAATTTTATAACTAGATCTACTTTCCAGAGTGGTGGTGAATTTGCCACCAAGTTGTTTTTATTTTTTACAAAGAGGGGCTCCAATAACACTGGACAATTCTATTTCTGGAATAAGTGAGTGAATGAGTTCCAAACTTTATGTGTGAATGAGTATGTTGGCTCTGGTACTTGAACTGGGGCCCGCTTATTCTTTAGGCTCACAGCTGGTACTCCACCACTTCTACCAGTTTCAAACCTTTATTCTCAGATCTCAGCCTCCTGAGTACCTAGGATTACTTTACAGGTTTGTAAAACCACTGTTCTGAGTTGCTAATTAATTCTAAATAGTATCTCAACAAACAGCCTTACATTTGGGCTGCCTGGGGGCTGGCTACCCAGGGTCCTATCTTGGTTATTTCCACCTTAACATTCTATGGAAACTTCAAACTCAAGTTCCTTCCACATTAAAAAATAAAACAAAGTGAGAGTCTGCAACTTCCATTTCCTGCACAGGGAACAGGAAATGTGCCTCTCTCCATTTTTCCCAACCTTAAGTTTGTCATATTAAAATCCTTATTAAAACTTAAAAACAAACAAAAAATCTTTTATCCAAACATTTTCCAAGATAACAAAGAAGTCCTTCCATGTGGTGATCCTTCAGAGGTAGCTTTGTTTTGGTTTCTCTTGGTGCTGCTCTCAGGGCCTGAGCTCAGGTCTGGGCTCCGTCTCTCACCTTCTTCACTCAAAGCTGGCCCTCTACCACCTGAGCTCCACTTTTGGCTTTTCGATGGTTAGGGGGAGGCAGGAGTCTCATGATCTTTCCTGCCCTTGTTGACTTTGAACTGTAATGCTCAGATCTCAGCCTTCCAAGTTGCAAGGACTGCAAACATAGAGCTAGCTGATTTTGAAGCTCCAATAACTTGCATCTTCACCTTATCAATCGGCTCTCCTCCACCTCAGTGCAGGATAAACTACCCAGGCCCTCATGGTTTCATCTAGACTGCTCCTCTGTGTACTTACTCGCCTATCTCCCTCCATTAGGCCTCCCTTCCGGCACCCTCCCTCTGCCTCTGCAGACTCTCCACAGTCTTCAGGATCAAGTCTAAGGTCCCTAGGATGACGCTGGGCTCTCACATACCAGGTATCAGCACGCTATTGCTGCTCTCCTTCTCCGAATTATACATTCTTCCTTGCCTGAATCTAACGTGGTTTATAAAAACACCTAGGACTTCAAAGTGCTTCAAAAGCACTCCAGCTCCCTTCTCCATTCTGTCACGAGCATTGTCTGTCTCTGTGATTCTGCCCTGTAGTGATTACAATACATTCCTCAACACTTTCACATAACTCCCTGGTCTTTCATCACAACTTTCACAGCTCATCAACCTCCTATTCATCCCACAAATCAAAATGCAAATATAGCATTTTTTCTTGTGTCTTAGTGCCAGTCCTAGGGCTTGAACTCAGGGCCTGGGCACTGTCCCTTGTTTTCTTCACTCAAGGCTAGTGCTCTATCACTTAAGCCACAGCTCTACTTCTAGATTTTTAGTGGTTAACTGGAGATAAGAATCTCGTGAAGGGGCTGGGAAGGTGGCTCAGTGGTTAAAGCGCTTGCCTTGCATGCCTGAGGCCCTGGGTTCGATTCCTCAGCACCACATTAGCAAAAACAAAAAAGCCGGAAGTGGCGCTGTGGCTCAAGTGGTAGAGCGCTCGCCTTGAGCTGAAGAGCTTAGGGACAGTGCCCAGGCCCAGAGTTCAGGCCCCATGACCGGACCCAAAAAAAAAAAAAAAGAATCTCGTGAACTTTTGTGCCAAGGTTGGCTTTGAACCTCTATCCTTAGATCTAGGCCTCCTGAGTAGCTAGAATTACAGGTGTGAGCCAACAGGGCCTGGCAAATACATTGTATAATCCTCCCCCACCAGTGTTCCCCATTAAACCCTGCATTTTGGTTATTACACTGAAACTATAAGGATGGCAGGTTTTCTTTTGTTTTTCTGAGAGAGTTTGGCTGGGCTGGCCTCAAACAAGCTTCCTAAGTACTGGAATCACAGGCAGGGGCCATCATCACATTTGCTTTTCTTGAATCTAACATTTAACTTATGGTTTGATTATAGATACTAAAAACTCCATATTGAAAAATAAACAGCTCTTATATTGTTAAGACAATACTGTGACTGGACAGGCTGAGTGACTGGGAGTTCAGAAACAAGAAGAATCCCATGTCATTCACCAGCCCAAAAAAAAAAAAATTGCATACAGAGGATAATTAAATTGTACCTTGTACATGCCTTCATCTGTATCTTGCAATACCAGTTTTTCTCTTTGCTCTCTTCTCTCTCTCTTCCCTTTCTCTGTTCCTTCAACTCCCTTTTCAAAGAAGTTCCCCCACAGAATTCTAGATACCAGTGGGATTTCATGTGTCACTGAAGCTCAGCAGTGCCCAGGTAAAGGTGAGGGTCTCTGGGGCCCGGCGACCGCCTCATGAGTCTGTTGGTCAACCACAAGTCACTCAACTTCTCTCTGGCTCTCAGTGAGCATCTTTCAGGATGCTGCTCTGAGGATTAAATAAAGTAATACATTCTAACAAATTCAGAATACTGCCTCCTATAGAAGAGGTCCCGGCAAATGCTAGCTGATGGCCAGGCTGTTACAATCAGCTTTCAAAACAGATTTTCTAACAATTACCTACTTAGTATAATCCCCTAGATGGAACGAATTACACACTTGTCATAGGTGAGCACCATGTAAATGTTAAAACAATGCCAGGGATCCAACAAGTGTCAAAGACTAATGTGATTGTGAGATCCCAGGCCTGTGAGACCAGTAAGTTATAAATGGACTAATTATGGAGTAAGGGCTTAAAATCACATTTTCTTTGATTTTATTTTATTGTGGGTCATGGGGCTTGAACTCAGGGGCACTGTCCCTGAGCTTTTTTACTCAAGGCTAGTGCTCTACCACTTTAAACCACTGCGTGACTTCCAGTTTTTATATGGTTAATTGGAGATAAGAGTCTCATAGACTTTCTTGTTTAGGTTGGCTTTGAACCTCCATCCTTAGATCTCAGCCTCCAGAGTAGCTAGGATTACAGGTATGAGCCCTGGCAACCAGCTGAGATTCTTATCTCCAATTAACTCCAGAAAAACAGAAGTGGCACTGTAGCTCAAGTGGTCAAGCACTAGCCTTGAGCAAAAGAGAACAGCACCCACGTTCTGAATTCAAGCCCCATTTAAAAAAAAAAAGTTTTATTTAGGAAATTCTTTTTTTTTGTCATTCGTGGGGCTAGAACTCTAGGCCTGGTTGCTGTCTCTGAGCTCTTCAGCTCAAGGCTAGTGCTCTACCACTTCAGCCACAGTGCCACTTCTGGCTTTTTCTGTTTATGAGACACTGAGGAATTGATCCCAGGGCCTCATGCATGCAAGGCAAGCACTTCCCAGCCTCAGGAAATTCTTTTTTATAACTTGAACTCGGGGCCTCTCACTCGTGCTTTGCCTTTCCTTTCAAGGCTGGTGCTCTACCACTGGAGCCATACCTGTACTTCCTCAAGTTTTAAAATAGGAATTAGTAATGGCCCCTTGACTTGCGTTTAATTTGATACAGGGGCTATAATTCTTGTCTGTAAGATTCACAACAGATTATTTAAAAATCAATGTGATATCCAGCTTCAGGAAACTGCCAGCCGGGCACTGGTGGCTCACATCTGTCATCCTAGCTACACAGGAGGCTGAGATCTGAGGATCACAGTTGGAAGCCAACCTGGGAAGAAAAGTCCGTGAGACTCTTATCTCCAATAAACCACCAGAAAAACTAGAAGTGGCACTGTAGCTCAAAGTGGTAGAGCACTAGCTTTGAACAAAAAAGCTCAGGGGATGTAATCAGGTCCTGAGTTCAAGACCCACTACTAACAAAAACAATGCCTATTATCAATCTGAAAAATTAGTATTTTCCTTTATCTACAGAAATCCATTGCAAGCTCTCCCCGCCCCACACACAACTACTAAAAGATTAAGAGACACAATTCTTACATCTCCTGGTTTCTGCCTAAGAAATTATTCCAGAATACTCTTCAGAGTATCTCCCCATAGAAGACTGCTAGTTACAAATTGCTATTTATTTAATTCCCAACTCCTTTCTAAACCTCCGGATACACCTACTGGCAGTAAAGAAAGCAAATGTCTGTAATAAAGACTGAAGAAAAACCCACAGCGGTTGTAGGGCCTCAGCTCGGGCCTGGGTGCCGCCCCTGGGCTTCCTGGGCTCATGGCTGGCGTTCCACCACCTAAGCCACAGGGCCACTTCCGGTTTTCTGGTGGACTTTCCTGCCCGGGCTGGCTTCGAACCGGGATCCTCAGATCTCATCCTCCTGAGTGGCCGAGATGACAGGAGGGAGCACGGTTCCCAGCCAGGGTTGGTGTTTATACCAAACTTCATAGTGAACGATTCTGCAACCACGCACGGATAGGTGCTATTCCAGAACTTTCCATCGACGGTTAAAACGGACCACACTGCCAAGGAGAACGACCTTGCGGGAAGCGGCTTCCCCGGCCTGCCGGGGTGCAGCTCGGGAATCGAACCCGGGATGCTGCGGCGCCCTCCCGGCCCTCGAGGACGTGCGCGGGATGAGGGATCGCGTCCTGCCAAGCCGCCGGGCCCAGGGTTCCAGGGCCCAGGAACAGGGACGCCGAGGCCGCAGGGCTCGGCGGCCGCCCGCGTCCCACCC